GTTTCGAGACATTTTATCCATTGTACATAATAAATCTACCTGATAGGCTATCGGTGATAAGGATAACACAGCATTTCAGACGTAGACAGAGAAACCTATAGACTAATGATTAGCGTGGCCTCGAGTAAGAAAGGACGATAACGTTATACACTAATCTTTATGATTTTTAAACATATTTAGATAAAAATTTTAATTGTTCTAAGAACTGAACTGAACAAGATTCACCAATCTTAAGCTCACAAAACACTTTTTTCTCACTTAAACCTACTTGTAAACTCCTTAGATCGCTACGAACTGTCAAAGTTGTTTAGCAAAGTGTAGTTTGCTAAATAAAAAAAAACCGGTATGGAGAAAGGGACAATCACACCGCTCTGTCTCATTTCTATGCAAGACGTATGCATAAATCTATCTTTATCGTGTGCGAATGCGAAAGAAGGCGTCAATTTGTCTATAGGTTTCTCTGTCTACGATTTTAGAATTCAGATATCTGTCAATAAGTTGATGAATAACCTCATGACAGTTGACAACTAACGTCAAAACAACATAAATTCGCCATTAGTGTTGCAGTTTTTGGTAAAAACATTGAAGTAATATGTACTTGTGTACTAGAACAGCTATTCCAAACAAAAAATGTGCGTTACTCTGTGTTCGCGCGGTTGTTTTTTTATCATAGAATAAACATAGGTAGAATGATCCGTAGGTAATAGTAGATTGAATTGTTAAATACGTAAATTATGTCGAGAATAATATTTAAATTTTGTCATTTATTTTGTATATTATATTTGGTTATTTGATATAAAATTACATAATATTATATCACAATTACGTTTTAATGATATTTTTATCTGAATATTTTAAGAGGTATCTAAGTCAAATATAAAAAACATACTAAATATATGTTTAACAAAACTTACTAACATAACATTTAAATTAAAAATATATTTATTTAAATTAGAATAAAATTAGTTCACAAATGCTGGGCACGGAGATATAAAAATGGACAAATTTATACCACTTTGACCTTGATGTGGAAACCTAAAAATAAAATAAAAGAATAATAAGCAGATTTCCTAAACGTGAAAATTTTTTCCAAATTATAATAACTTATATACTATGTTTCTACAAAAAAAATGTGTATAATAATATTATCGTCCTATACTTAAGTACCCACAGAAATGTCGCATCTGAACATGTTAATTTCATAATCTATATTCCATGACGCGAGATGGCGTCATAGGAATAATTTGTTTTATTATTAATACATAATACGTTTTTATTGATTAAGTATCTTATTAACCGATGAAAACTAATTCCTTGGTTTTTATTGACATTTCTTGAATTATTTGTGCAATATCTAAGTACACACGACGGCACATTTTTATTAAGAGATTTTTTATAAATCAACACAACACGTGACAACTCTATAAACGCCTAGCGAGTAACTGATTAAAGTGCGGTGTATGCACCGCAGTTGAGTGGAACAGAGTAGCTGAATGCAGTGTCGCCTCTAGTACGTAGTACATAATAGCTCAATGGGTAAAAATAAAATATTAGTAGCACTAAAATAAAGGCAAATTCGTGGATTTTAATGACCAAAAGTGGTATAGTATATTATTTTAATTTATTACCCTACTTGTACAAAACCAGGCCTACGCTTCATACAATTTCGGACCGTCTCCTTTAAAGAACTTTTTATAATTTTTTTATTGCGCAGACTTTCACCATAATTCTTTTTACAATAACTATTTAATTGCTTTCATTTTTTTTTACATACCCCGTAGCTACTCGAGCGCTGTAGTGGAGAGTTTTTGAACTATTATTTACTGCTTACAGATGGACACTTTTTCAACTATTCTCCTATGAGAGTTGGTACTCCGTACTTATATACTCCATAGCTGAGAATTTATTTGCATGCCATTGGGACAAGACAGATAAAAAATTCAAAAATGGTTATCATTTTTGAATTTTTTGTCTGTCTCTCTGTCCGAGCTTATCTCCTGATGGCTGAACCGATTGTAGTAAAACTTTACAGGTATAGAGCAACGCCAGAGTGATTTAGGCAATATTGTGTCGGAAAAACTTAAAGACTTTCTTTGAAAATAACGAATATTGATAAAATAACGTTGTCTGTGATTATCTTAAATCTAATTAATACCGCATTAATAGATTATACCCTGTTGAAGCCGAGGCGGGTTGTTGGTTGGGCTGTGGCGGCGCTAGTTATAAATAATACGAGTTCTTATTTCTGAAGGGAGTTCAGTATGTTTTACTTTTAAAGTTATAGCGGACATAATCGTGGGCGTAGGCTCTGTTGTTACCCGTACATTTGAGCCATAGCTCGGAGCAGTACATGCAAAATGTTTTAATATAAAGAAAACTTTAGATTTTTATTTAAATTTATAAATAGATAAAACGATATTGTATTTAATATACGGAGCTTTACATTCGCCAAACCTTCAAAGTCTTCTCCCGAAGTGAAACCTATGTTATAAGAACTATTAAGAATTCTGAAAGTTCGTGGAATTGGATTTGATGTTGTTTATAAAGGGTCTCCCTGTAAGATGAAACTTTAATTAGTTGTTGCTCCTAAAGTAAGAGTGATTTTTGAAGTAAATAAAAGCTTAGCGGCTGACGGGGTGGTAATTTAATGTTATTTTTAAAAGTTTATATTGGTGTCTATACATTTTTTTGACTTACGATCAGATAGCACAACTAATGGTAAGTGGGAGCTACAGACAATTGACATCTACATTTTATCATTGATTAAGATGGAAAGCCTCGTTACTAGTAAAAATATCTACGGTTTTCTTCACTAACTACACGAAACACAGCAGTGTCTTATATTTACGCGAACACTAAACAATAAATGAAGCTAATTTTAAGGATTTTATCGCATTTAACTTTAACTTTTTAATTCCCGATGTCTCGGATGCTTTACAGTACCCAACTGAGACATGACCCTTCATTGCTGGCCGTATGAGGAAACTCAAGGTCGCTCAGCGAGCTATGGAGAGAGCTACGATTGGGGTTTCTCTGCGTAATAAACTTAGGAATGAGGATATCCCCACTAGAACCAGAGTGACTGACACAGCCTAACGGATTAGTGAGCCGAAGTGGCACTGGCAATGGGGCGTCCATATAGCTCGAGGAACCGATAAACGATGGGTAAGAAAGATTCTCGAGTGACAGCCTCGTACCGGCAGGCGAAGTGTAGGGCATACCTCCACTAGATGTAGTGACGACCTGGTTAACCACGCAGGAAATCGATGGATACAGGTGGCTCAGGACCTTGCTTTGTGGCATTATTTGGAGGAGGCCTTTGTTCAGCAGTGGACTTGTGAAGGGCTGTAATGATGATGATGATGATGAAGAATATTAGGTGGACTGTATACTAATTTGTCACCTTTATTCTAAAAAAATATTTCAAATAAATTTAACATAAAAATCCTTGCTGACAATTCAGCAGGAGCGCAAATTGAAATGCGAATAACTAAAATAGAATGGTACTTATAGTTCATAAATGATAGCTTGATCTCATGGGCATGCTGACCTAATTAGTGCATGCCCGTAAAGTATGACATTGACAGGTACTGTCTGTACTACTAAGAAATTCAGGACTTCATAGGCGTGATTTTTACTGACAGCTGTCGCATAGATCAAGCTATCTTTTATGAACCATAGTCATTACTCTTAAAGTTGCCATAACGAAATACATAATATTCGCTGTGAGTTGCTGTCCCAATAACATGAGAACTAACAGCAGCAAATACCCTGGAGTAATTATCAATCAAACCCCGACTTTTAAACTGCACATTGACACCCTTGTCTCTAGGCCAACTTTTCAGAACTACTTCATTGCAGGACTTTTTTGTTTTATTAGACATTACGATTTACGAGTACTTATATAATAAATTAAATGAGATTCTGAACATTATTCGATTCTAACAGGAGATTGCAAGGTATCTGCCACAAAATATTTAAAACATTGAACTATACAGTAACTGAAACTCACTTCCTTTTCTAGTTTAAGTAAATCTGGGTATTAAATAAATAGTAAAAAAAAAATATCGGTTTGTATAAAAAACAATTGAAGTCTTTTAGTCTCGCTAAAACTCGAAACTGGCTCGATCGTTTATGATGAAATTTTTTTGTGGTTTTCAAACCAATGCAATTTTTAAACCATCTGGGGACCCACTCAAAGGTCCATGGATGGTTTGAATTCACAATTGGATTCGGTAGGCGGCGCTGTTGTCAAGATCCAGTAATCATCCGTGCAAATCCGGGACGAATCGGCAGTATGTTATATTTTTTAAAGTTTGCGCGCCCGCACGCACCGCTACACACACATATCCGCAAGCACGTCCGCACACACATAGATACAATACACATTCACACACGATACTTATGGCAAAAATTTCTCATAAAGGATCGGGCAATCTGTTTACTACTATTTTAAGCTATATTTTAAGTAATTCTATTTGTGATGAGAAAATAAGCGGTTTATTTATTATTTATTTTATGACCATACATAATGATACAAAAAAGTGTTGTAATAATATTGCTACCAAGTGTAATTTAGTATGAAAATTACTGTACACGATTTTATTGGTAATTGGAAACATTGCCTCGATACGTACTGCTGCCATGGGAATATAATATCTTACTATTTACTCGCCGTAATAGTTAAATTTATAGTTCTCGGATGGCAGCTTAACGACACCCACAATATGCTAACGGCATTGATGGCTGTACCCCAATTATAAATTTAAGAAGTTAAAGAATTTAGACGTAAGAGATTAGTCAAGCCGACTATATTATTAAAATAGTCTGAAATTATTTTAAGTATACACAAATTAAAATGTGTGACGGGCGTTATAAATTATAAATAAAAATAAGGTCAGGTTACTGTCAGTTACTATCAGGTCGGCGGTTCGTTTGATACTTTAATACTATAAAAACATTCCGAATATGTTATGTACAAAGGTGTTGAAATAAATTACCTGCGTTTCAGATGTAATGTCAAGCTGTAGGGTATGAAGGCGCCCCGAGCAGTCTTCTTTAAGCATGTCGGCATCGATGTTTCCAGCCTTATTCTGGAAGCCAGCGAATACATGATATCCTAAGTCATCCAGCTTTCGAGCAAGGGCGTTTCCTAAAACGTTGTCGCATCCTGTCACCAGCACAGCTTTGCCCGCTGCTGTCACCTATAAAAACACAACTGCCTTAGAATTTGTAAGTTTAAACTTATTACACTAGATATTTTTATGATATTCATCACTTCTTTCGCTACTAAATTTGAAAATTTGCGGCATAACTCTTCAACTCAAATCCCAACGGATTAGTAAGTAGCAGTGGTAATAAGACGACTGGCAGTAAGTTGATGTATGATAAGTGTAGGACGGGCTTCTACAAGATGGAGTGATGATCAGGTAAGACATGCGATTTCCTGTGTTCAGCTGTGGACATTTGAAAAGCAGTAATGATGAAATATAAAGAACATCAACGTTAGATTGAACTGTTCAGGGCCTTTTTTATTTGTTGTTTTATGGTAATTTAATTCTATTATCTGATAACACAGGCAGGCAACGAAATTATGTTTTTGTAGAAAATATACGTTGACAGTTTGATTGATGTAGATTGTTATAACTGTTAAATGAATATTTTATTCGGGCTTCCGAGGATGTGACGCAGTTACTTTTGAGGTTATCTATTTTAGGATAGTTTATTAATACTTGAAATTTTAACCTCTGGCTTCATAAATTTTATGTGAAGATTTTCTTTTATAAAATTTAATTTGAGCTTGCCTTGTGATAAAAATAGATAAAGATGAGAAGATTTGCAAAGATCTGCGTGCACAAGAAAAGATAAGAATAATTTAATTTGAAGAGTAGTCTCTTCCGCCCACAATGGGGTGCACTCACAGAAATCGACAGACAGTATAAGTCGCATAAGCGAGTAACCTTGTCGCAGCTATGATGTGTTGACGAATATCATTCACCATTTTATGATTTAGTTGCGCGGGGAATGTCGTAAGTGAATTGATGTAATTATATATTTATAATGGTGAACTGCAGCATAATCAATTGTAAAAACTCATCAAGGACGTGTAATTCAACTAATAAAGGCATAACATTTAATCGTTAAGTTGATTATTTACTAATTATCATTGTTTTAACTAATTTACATCTATATGAATACTTTGCTATATGATATTTACCTTTGTAAACTTTTATTTACTACTTTTCGTATTTACAATTACTTTTGTTCTACCGTAATACGCGACGCACGCGACGTTGAAAAACACGCCAAGCAATGTAATGTGATATGTGATCCGGGATAGGACCACGCTCTCTCAGAATACCAGCGTAAAATAGCTGCTTAATGCTGCTAATTTTCGTATGGTGAATGTAGAGCACCGGAGACCCTTTTTGCCGGAAACGAGGCATTTCATCTTAGCCCCCAGGGGTAACAAAGTATCTGTGGACTACAGCATCCACTTATTATAAGTTGGACTGTGCTCGTTTGTCACACTTATTCTATAAAAAGAATAATGGCAAAAATAATTACGAGAGTACCGATCCAGTCGCTCTCATTTCTAATAAAGTAGTTCTATGATTCAGTTAGTCTATGCCTTTTATTTTTAGCAAAGCTATTCGACAGTCCTGCCGAGTAATTAATAATCGTTTATCTTTTGTTTTTGACATGAGTATAGAAATTTAAATGAGCGAGTTCTGCACTAGTGCAGATACAATTGATGATATTTTCAGGACATCGACAATTGTATCTGAACTTGTAGTCTTAGAAATGTTTCGTCTTGATCGAATATTTGTCTTATGAACCTGACGGAGATGTTAATAAAAATAAAATAAAAATCAAATCGTTCTTAACTTTAAAATATTAGTGATAATCAATATTCAATATAAATACACTTAATTAATGATTAATACGAATTTAACATTTTCAACGAAGATTGACTGTAGTCAATTTCTATTGGATTACATTTTTACAATACACCAGTAAGACGTAGTGTACCAAAATTACGCAATAAAATATGACAGATTAACAACATTGAATAAAACAAATAAGTTTAATATATTGTAAAAACTAAAGTAAAAGTCGGTTTCATAAAACTAGACACAATTAAATAGTATCCACATAATCGCTTCTGAAGTCAAGGCTTTAATTTTTTTTTATCAAAGACATTTGAATATTTATTATCTTATCTTTGTTTTTAAGCTATGTCTTATAGCTTCATCCATCATCTCCTAGTTTTCCACCCATCATTCTCATTCTTTTAGAGAAATGATTCCGCCATTAACGTAGAACCTTTTTTTAATTCGCCTCTTCCTTCCTCGCTCTCCCTTGTAGAATCTATTTAATTTCAGGTTCAGGTCCCCTGAAGAAACTATTTTAGAAAAATCGATAAATGACGTTATCGTATAACATACTTACAAAAAGAAAACCAAATATATATAGTCCAATTGAGAATCTCTTTCTTTTTTGAAGTAAAAATATGTATGTAAATAATAAACAACCAATAAAATTAATATTGTGCATATTTTTATTAGAACAAAATAAAACATTATTATGATCAACTTACATTTTAAACATCCAGTTGCACACGGCCACCTTTTTTTTTATTTTTTTTTTTTGGAGGGGTTTATTAATAATAAAAGAAACGAAAAAACCCCCCGCCACCACCCCTAATTATCGAAAGTCTTCTTTTATTTTGTCAGTGGTTTGGAAAATAAATTCCTAAAGAACCATCATGAAACTTTAACATTTATAACGAAAGAGGTTGTTTAATCTAAAAAAAATTAAATAAATAAATATTAATTTTTTACTTTGTCCGTCTTCTTTATATTGTACTATTAATCCAATTACGATGACGAAACTAGAAGGTTTCTGATGAAATAAAGGCATTATAATGCATGCCGCAAGTAGCTATTCAATCAAGTTCATATCGGCATTATTTCGGGGACAATCTAGCGCTAACACACGTATATAGGCATTTATTATTCATATAGGAAGTTTAATTCAAATTGCAAACAGGCTATCGTTACGTTAGACGTATCATATACACATTTGAATCTTCCGTTACCGATTTGCAGGCTTGTGATAAATGCGATTTATCCACAATCTACACTTGCAAAACGTGAATGAGCGAGATAGATACCTGTATAATCTAATATTTCATCATCATCTTAACTTATGAAAATTCACTACTGGACGTAGGCTTCTTCATTCACTTCATTGAGAATTAATCATCATATTTGCTACCTTCGCTTACTTGTTTGCAACAAGTCACCGGCTTGAGTATTCATCGCATTGAAAAATCAAAATGGTCATAGTGTCATTTATCGAAATCTATGAGATCTTTCTGACACTTTCATATTGCTTTTTACGATAACCACGGCATTACATGGATTCATGGGTTCTCCTTACACCAGCAACACACGACAAAAGTGTTTATTAATTCATTGACTATATTCGTTATTACGCGTATATAACTACACAAATCGTATGCAGAAAGAAAACACCATAACAATTTTATTTATTGGTGTGTCTTTTCTGAGAAAACACCCATTAACCTATTTTTAAATTGGAATTTCGAAAGGAATAGATGACGCAATTGGATGTACCGATGTTGGCACAACTAACCAGTGATGTTGAATAATTGTCAAATCGACAACTATTATAAGTTGTGCTTTAATAAGCTATAAATTACTTTTATTATTTTTGTATTTTGAAAATATTGTGACATCACTGACAAACTTAGTAATAAATTCTGTTCTTAATTTTTTATAAATAGTAACTTCAATTATGAAACAAAATTACTTTAAATTTTACAAAGCTAAGATCTAGTATATATAGATAAAATTAGAGATAGGCCAATGTTCTATAGGGGCACTATTTTGAAAGTGTTTATTTTGTAATATATAATGAATAGATAAAGTTATAAAGTTCAATCAATGTGCTTATTTTATATTATTATATTATTGGTATGATTATCAACTTTAATTGTAATAATGATGTTACTAGCATCATCATTGTCATCATCACAGCCTTTCACAAAAACTCCCCCAAAGAATGCCACAAAGCACGGTCTTAAACCACCGCCTTCCATCGACTTCGTGCCTCTCTTACCAGATCGTCCCTCCAGTGGATTACAGTATATACACAATTATGTATTATTAATTTAACAATGCGGTCGACGTTGTGGTATTTGGGACACAGGCAATCACTAGCGGGTATAAATATCACAGAATTTAACGCACACATAAAGTCGTCTGAGAAACTTTATACCTTTTAGACATTTTGTCTGTTAGAACACTCCCGTTCTAGTCTTTTCCGATTGAAAGAGGGGAATGTTTGAATAAACTTGATAGATCGCGAATGTTCGATATTTTATTAGGTATAGAAATATGCGCCGATGATCGGATAAGTATTTAATAGGTCCGAATAAGTGGTTTTAAGATTTTGGAATGAAATATAAATTTCTTTACGTGAGATTAGGTTGATAAACAAGCTCGTAGTCCCCTGGATGGTAAGTGAATGCTGTGAGCCACGGACATCTACATCTATCCTCGATTAAGAATTAGAAAACAGATGCGTTGTCGTCACCCCTGAAAAATAAGACAAGAAAGCGTCTCATCTGACAGTAAGAGTCGACCCCCATTCATGAACAACTGCAACACCAGAGGCATTGCAAGAAAGTTGCCAGCCTTTTGAAAAGGAGTAAGGTAGTTTCTAAACCCCCACCCCCAACGCTGCCATACTGTGAGTTTTATCGCCATGTGCGTTCGTGGATTTTGTCGGCGGGGATTATTCCGAGCAATTCTTCTAAGCACTCTGGTCAATGCGGGATTGCGTGCGATGCGTGGGATGCAAGATATCTTCTCAGCGCCAATGTATTGAGCCGATCAGTCCCGGTCGACAACTATTCAAGCCGCTTTGTGCTGGCCGCGGTTAGGTGGAAGAAGCTGGTACTGCGGCGTCCCAGCTCAAAGTTGAGAACAGTTTTCCATTTGAGTACGGAGATGCTCACGGTGTTTCAGCGTGGAATACGCTGAAACACCGTGCAACTACAAAGCACGCTAAGCTTTGAAGAGGCCAATTTGACCTTACAAGAGACCACGGTACTGAACGGGGCCCTGTAGATGATAGCGCAAACTTACGCTCGACCAAGGCTTCGACCTCTGCA